GCCACCTTGAATTCCTGGGCTTGAGGGATCATCCCACCTCAGCCTCCTGAGTTGCTAAGGCTACAGGTGCATGCCACCATGCCTGGCTTATGTTTTAATTTTTTGTAGAGATGGGGTCTTGCCATCTTGCCCAGGCTGCTCTTAAACTCCTGGGCTCAAGAGATTCCTCTTGGCCTCCCAAAGTGCTGGGATTACAGGTATGAATTACATTGAACCACACTGGGCTCAATGTCATTTTACTATAATGTTGATGAGAAAAAACATTGATTCCTAGCTGGGGCCACTGTCTGTGTGGAGTTTGTATGTCTTCCCCATGTCTGCATGGGTTTTCTCCAGACACTCCAGTTTCCTCTTCATCTCAAAGATATGCATGTGAGGTTATCTACGTGGCTCCACTGTGAGTGAGTATGGGTGTATCTGCGTGCACCCTGCCATAAGATGGCATCCTGTCCAGGGTGGGTTTCTACCTGGCACTCTAAGCTGCCAAGATAGACTCTGGCCACCCAACACTCTGAATTGGAATAAGCTGGTAAATAATTTTCAGACTTATTTTTATTAATTTTTCTTAAATGTACTTACAGCCCACATTTATGTCAGTGTTTAATATTACAAGTGTTTTGGTCTTTATTTAGAAGTTTAATAATGTGGCAGGGTGTCATGGCTCATACTTGTAATCCCAACACTTTGGGAGGCCAAGGCAGGCGGATCACCTGAGGTCAGAAGTTCAAGACCTGCTTGGCCAACAGGGTGAAAACCCATCTCTATTAGAAATATGAAAAATAAGCTGGACATCATGGCAGTTACCTGTAACCCCAGCTACTTGGGAGGCTGAGGCAGGAGAATCGCTTGAATCTGAGCGGTGGAGGGTACAGTGCTCCAAGATCGCGCCACTGCACTCCAGCCTGGGCAACAAGAATGAAACTCCATCTCCAAAAAGAAAAAAAAAAAAAAGAGGTTTAATAATGTTTTTGTGACCAGAAATGTGCCATAGGAACTTATTTCTTACTTATATTAATTAGACTGTGGTAAAGTTGATTTTGTTCCATGTCATTTTGCATAAAATTGCTGTTTTCAAGCATCTACATCTGACATTAAGAGAGGATTTACTATACTTGTGTAGGGTGTCTAAAATTATACAGCATAATTCAGCATTCAGAAATGAGGCTCTTTTTCCCTTCCTGTTTCTCCCTGCCTTTTCCGGGGTGGTGTCTGGGCTCAGGAGGATGCTTTGTAGCATCATGGCCCAGGGATGGGGATGTGTGCATCTGGGCCTTGCTATTCTCTCAGACGCCTCCTGTCCTGGATGGTCTCTGGATATGGGAAGCCAGCCGGGGTGTCTGCTGACTTGTAGCTGGTCCCATTTAGCCTTTGTCATCTGCCAGCAGATGCTGATGATGTATGTTGTCCCTGCCACATCCTCTCTGGTGGGAGGCTCTATGCTACTCTCTCTCCTTCAAGCCACAGGCCAGCCAGCCATGGGGAATTGTGTGTGTGTGTATGTGTCTGTCTGTGTGTGTGTGTGTGTGACTGGGTGTAGGGGGAGAAGGGAGAGAGACAGAGAGAGAGAGACTACTTCAGGCCCTGTCTCCCTGTAAGCATGCCACACTGCCTTTGCCGCTCTGCAGCTGTCATGGGTGGATGGAGACGTGTGCCTGTGTGTGGGGTGTCCCCCCAGTTCCAGGTGTACAGTGAGGCACGGCTCACTCTGCTCTGGGTTTCTCTATTCTCTTCAGCAGGTTCTCTATGTAACTCTAGGATTTCACCTGCAGGAGCTGTGCCGGGGAGCAGCTTAACACTGTATCACTTGTGTCTACTCCAAACTCATCCCCTTTGCTGGTTTCTAGGTATTCTAGGTCCTTATCTGGGATGGGCTTTCATTTCTTCCTTGGGTGGCAGAAAACAACTTAAATCACATCCTGCAATCTTCCTCTTTCACGACTCATATAAAAAACTCTGTGCTCAATCATCAAAGTTTTGGCTCTAAAGGGAGATTTTTTTTCCTTCTCACATAAATGTTTGTAGTGAGGTGAGGAACTTAAAAACTTTTCTTACTAACTTTTAATTTTGATATAACTTCAGATTTACAGTCGTAGGAAAAGTAGAAAGAATTCTCAAATACTCGTTATCCAGAGTCTCCGAATGTTAACATTTTACCACATTCCCTTTTCTCTCTCTCTCTCCACACAAGGGCACACATATATACACATACATGCACGATTATACATATAAATCAGGAAAGGATTATTATCCGGTTATCTACAGGCTTTATTGAGACTTTGCCAACTCTCCCACTAATATCCTTTATAGCAAAAGAAAAATCTCAGGATGCGTATTACATTGTTGTCATATCTTTTACTCTTTGTGTTTTATGATATAGGCATTTTTGAAGAGAGTAGGCCTATTATTTTGCAGCATGTCCTCCAGTTTGGGTTGGTTTGTTTTTGCTCCATTAGGTTCAGGTTATGTGTTTTTGGCAGGAACCCCACGGAAGTGATAGTGTCTGAATGAATCAGATCAGGAAGTGCATGATGGTGATTGTCCCGGTACTCACAATGTCAGCTTTTACCACTTTAGGTTAAAATGGTGTCTACCAGGTTTTTCCGTGGTAGGGTTATTATTTTTCCTTTGGTAATTAATAAATTGTCCTGTGAAGAGATAGATACTTTGAGGCTATTATCCTATTATTCCTCAAACTGTCACCCACTAGTTTTATAATTTATTGATGATACTTACCTGAGTCAATTATTATGATGGTTACTTCCATAATTTCTTCTACACTAATTGTTTTTGAAAAAGAAGGAAGAACTTTCTAAAGGGAGACTTTTGGAATTCAGAAAATTCTTTTTTTCCCCCTTAAGAGTTAAGCTTTTACAATTGAATGCCCAACTTTTTTTTATTTTTTATTTTTCTGAGACGGAATCTCACTCTGTTGCCCAAGCTGGAGGCTGAAGTGCAGTGGCTCCATCTCAGCTTACTGCAACTTCCACCTCCCAGGTTTAAGTGATTCTCCTGCCTCAGCCTCCAGAGTAGCTGGGACTACAGGCACATGCCATGATGCCTAGTTAATATTTTTTTCTATTTTTAGTAGAGACGGTTTTCACTGTATTAGCCAGGATGGTCTTGATCTCCTGACCTTGTGATCCGCCTGCCTCGGCCTCCCGAAGTGCTGGGAGATTACAGGTGTGAGCCACCGCACCTGGCCAGAGTGCCCAGCTTTTGAAACTGTTGTCTTTTAAACTCAAAGCTGATCAATGGCACCTTTGTTCTACGTTGTACCCATTTCTCTCTCAGGCAGTGAATACCACTGGGAGGATGGGCAAAGAGCTGCAGGGTCACAAGAGTAATTTCACATTCTTCTCACTGCCTGCGTGACACTGGCCTCAGATAGTCGCTGATCACCTGTGAAAGTTTTCACTTTTGTGTATTTTCATATTTTTATGTCTTTACAGGTGTTTTAGTATAAAATTGAGTGAAACTGTTATAAGGAATTATGGGATAGGAAATAAATATATTACCACTTCAAGAATATGATGTGAATGTAACTTAAACTGATAATAAAATGTTGCCAGATTGCTGACTTGCTGAGCCTAATGAATATTGAAGACCCCCTAATAATAGTAGTTGCACCAAAAAAAAATTAAAGTTCAAAAATAATTTTAAACCTTTTTGTTTTCTAAGTAGTTTACCCCTCTCTCCCCAGGCTTACACCACAAATTTGCTAGATTAACTCATCAAAGATTGTACAAAGACTAACAATGTAATGCCAACCCCTGTTCGTAATTCATTATTATGAATTCCAAATTAGGGAATTGGAATTGATGAATTAGTTTTTACATAGTTTTGTGTTTTGAATTTGGTGACTGTTGAGGGTGAATGTATCTTCTGCCTGCTTCCGTTGTTTGTATCATTTCACAGAGGGTGTTTGAACTTGGTTTCCTTGCTGGGAGAGGTGGTGGATCCTGTAATACCCTCAAGACCTCCTGTGTTTTCTGAGGCAAAACCGTTTCTGTGCCACAACCTGGCAGATTCTCTCATCTTAGGGTATAGAGACACACTTTTAATAGCATGTTTATGTTAGCAGCATCTTGCAAATATACAGTGTCTGAATTAGCTAATGGGAGAACATAAAAATAAACTACATTGAAACAAAGAAGTTGAAAAACACACTATCCCATTTTCTTTCTTTTTTTTTTTTTTTGAGACGGAGTTTCGCTCTTGTTACCCAGGCTGGAGTGCAATGGCGCGATCTCGGCTCACTGCAACCTCCGCCTCCTGGGTTCAGGCAATTCTTCTGGCTCAGCCTCCTGAGTAGCTGGGATTACAGGCACGCGCCACCATGCCCAGCTAATTTTTTTTTTTTTTTTGTATTTTTAGTAGAGATGGGGTTTCACCATGTTGACCAGGATGGTCTCGATCTCTTGACCTCATGATCCACCCGCCTGGGCCTCCCAAAGTGCTGGGATTACAGGCTTGAGCCATCGCGCCTGGCCCCCATCTTCTTTATGAAGGTGTCAAAAAATACATCAGAAAAGAAGAAAGGTAACTGCTAAGAGTCTCCCAAGTTATCTCTCGCATTCTTGTATCTTAATGACTGATCACATATTTGAAGTCTCTACCTTGGAGACCTAAAATAAAAAGAAAACTGCAATTATAGTTACTCAGTGTGAATATTCTCTGTTCTATGAATATCAAGATTTGAGTGCATCATCTCTGGAGAGTTAATGTGATATTTTAGTACACTCTTACACATTCATTTTGTGCTTAAGTTCTAGGGAAATGCTGTTTATCTTAGCTTCTATTGTTTGTTTCATTGGCTCTTGTATACAAAGATGTCATTTGTACTTGGAGGTGACATTGACATTATTTTAAGAAATTTGTATGTGTGGAGGGGATTGAAGAACACTGGAGAGAATATTAAATGTTATCTTTTTAAAGCAACTTTGTAGACAATTTCTTATTTATTTTGTGAGCATTGAACAAGGGATTTTTTAAATCAACAGGTCCTTCTCATGAGGATGAAGACAACTTTTTCTCAGTGTTTCATACTCAGATCCCTCCAGAAGAATATGAAAAGCAGATGCAGAAAGTCAGTAAAGGTATGTTTTAATTTGTGTCATTGTACATATTTTCACAAGGGAATGCTAGCTGTGTACCGAAATAGTCATAAATGAAATGAGTTCATGTAATTTACTCCAGAGGTAAGTGGAGGCAGATAGGGTTCAGGATGACACAAGGTTGGTCATTGTTGCAGCTTGTTGTTCAGAGTTTGTTATACCATTCTCTCTACTTTTGGATGCTTGAAATTTTGTATGATAATAAAGAGTTAAAAAAAAACTGGCTGCAAGTAATTAAAACCTGGCTTAAGCAAAAACAAATCTGTGAAAAAAATTTTGGTGGGAGGCAGCTTACTTTGGTTCCCAAGAGCATACGCTGTGGCTAGACATTCAGAGGTTGGCTCAGTTCTGCAATCCTAGAGAAGAGCCTGCGTGATCCAGCTGGGTCAGGGGCTGTCGCTCAACTAACTTGTTCAACCCAGCAAGGTCTGGGGTCACTGTGGGAACATGGCAGCTATATCACTACCAGACTGGAGAGAAGAGGACAGTTCCAGTGAAGACAGTTTTGGCCAGATAACCCAATGTTTTTTCCTTACTATTTATTAGAAGTATATTTTAAAGAAACTCTGTGATAAATGTAAACGTGGCTGCATTCACTTTGTATTTTTTAAATGTATTATTAAGAGTATATGAAACTTCAACTGAATAAACAAACCTCGTATTTCAACTAAAAAGGCTGCATACAACTTGAATTATTATGGAAAGAAGTGTTGCATTTTGTGTCTAAGATGGCCTTGCACCAGAAAAGTAACTCATACTTTAACTATTGGCAGTTGATTTAAAAAATAATTATGTGATTGTTAAAAAATGAAACCCCAGGTATAAAGCATAGATGTATTTGCCTATGAGCTTATATAACTTAAATTTGAATAACTTAAAGCTACTTTTGTTTGAAAAGAATTTAAATCAAGAGATCTTGCTCTTTCCCTCATTCTTTCCAGCTGTTTTCATCAAAAAATTTTTAAATGGTTATATTTGTATTGACTCTTTGATAACTAGCTATAAACACACCAATTGACTAGCTCCCTTAACCCTTTTTATTCAGGTAACCTCCCTTACAAAATTACAAAATTAACAAAATGTACAAAATTAATTTTTATGTAAACTTTGCCTGGATTGAGCTCATGACTGGTGTTTTTTTCTTATTTGAACTTTAATGTGGAAATGCATCCTGTTTTGCAGGGCAAACTGCATGTGCTATTTAAGGAGATGCATGCATATTTAAAATATGCATGCTTCTTCATGCATATTTTCAGAGCTTTAATGAAAGGTTCATATGGTCTTGTTTTAAAATCTTGTAATGTGACACAGAGAAAACAAGATATTTTATAAAGGGAATATGAGTCCACAAGTATTATTCTTATTTTGAACACTCAGGGTATGAATATCTCAGACATTCACTCAAGCCTCTTCTGAAAGGTTGAGGAAAATTGGCAAACTCAGATGGGCTTTAGGGGTTTGTGCAGATGGGAGCCAGGACGTGGGACACTAACTCGCAGAGCTTGCTCAAAAGGCAGGTTAAACAAGATGCTCTGTTCAGAAAGGGTAATGGTAAATTAGTAGAAGAGTAGGGATGACCTAGTCCTGAGGGAAATTTTTTGTTTTGTATCAAGACTGAAATAAAATATATATTTTAAAGTTTCCCTAACATCAGTGATTTCTTCTTCACATGTCTGTCTTGAAGTTCTATTCATATTTCCCATCATTCTCATGGAGTCAACTGGAAAAAGTTTGATACATGATAATGAATAACACAAGAAGTTTTATGAGAACGTAATTCAAAGTTATTGCAGCACATTTATCTTTTTAAGACTAGATCTCCATTATATATTAGGTTTCTGGATCTGGAATTTAGAAGTTAGTTCTTCTGCGTGGGTTTTATTTCTTACATATTTTAATACATGCTTGAAGTGAACTTTTAGCATAATTGACACTTTTAATTATGAAAAAATTTTGAACTTTTTAAATACTAGATTTTACCTGTGATGTGGAAAGAAATGAATCATTGATCAAAGCAGGAAAGAAACCTTTCTCAAATACAGAAAAGATTGAGCTCAGGGGCAAACACAACCAGGATTTTATTAAGAGAAACATTGAGGTATGTACTTAGAAATGTAGAAGCCAGAATTTGGGGCTAAATGAGTTGAAAAAATGGCAGTAGTTTTGTTCAATGTCTTTAAATATTTTTTCAACCATCATAAATGTATGAATGATTGAATTAGTAGATATATTGAATAAAAACTTTTATAAACCAGTACTTCATTATTTCTGTGTTCAATCCATTACATCCTATCCTATCCTAGCTCTTTTTCAAAATGCTAGCTGCAACTAGCATTTATTTCACTCTCCAGAAATAGTCTGTTTCCTGCAATTTGCAAAAACATTTATTTAGATAATAGTTTTGGACAATGTTTCTCAGATTTTAAATTGCATATTAGTAAATTTTTTTTTTTTTTTAAGTAATGAGACTGATTTTATAGATAATACGTTTAGAACCTTGAATGGAAAATGTGCCTGGCAGAACAGCAGGGCTATGCTGGAGAAGCCTACTGGTTGCCTGCCTCTTTGCTGAGCCTTCCCACAGCTGGTCACTGGCCTTGATTAGCTTCTGCTTCAAGGACCCATCTTTGGTCTTATAGGCCTTGCAGCCTGACTTGGTTTGTCTTTAAGGCAGACTCAGACTAAACAAGGGTACAAGGATTCCTGGGTTAGACCAGAATGCTCATTAATTAATTTACAACAGGAACTATAGTGAGGAGGACAGAAGCTCTGCTCACCCCTTGAGCAGCGGCACAAGAAAACCACCTGGGTGAGTGGAGAGTATTGACAAGGGAGAGTTGCTTAATTCCTCACACTTGAAGCCTGATCCTTTCCCCACAATTGGCACATCATTTCAGGCAGACTGGGTTTGTGGGGCAGCCTGCCGCTGCCGGGACTGGCCTCGGGGACTCTCGATTCTTGTGCTCCGCATTCATATGATCTTCTTCGGGAAAACTTCTCTGTCTTGATCTGCCTTTGTCTTTGCACTGGTCCCTTGTATGTTTATTTACTGTTCAATTTTCAAGAGCAATGGAGCTCCCCCCTTACCTGGGTTCTTGCTGACACAGATAGCAGCTCTGCCGTAGATTTCTCTTTCTCCTTTTCAACAATAGTAACTAAATATTTAAATTCCTCATATGTTAGTCTTGAAATTTAAAAGCAGTTTCATTTAGTGGATAAGTGCCCCAAAGAAAGTAGCAAGAAGATTTCTTCCAAATGTCTCAGTAAGTATGTTTTTGTATTTATATTGTTTATCTATAATAGGTTTGAAAACTGCTCATATTATTTTTTAATAAAATGTCTGTTGGAATGGTTAACAGGAGGGCCTGCTTATAGGGATGATATCTTTGGATATTAGAGAATGGAGCTTTACAAACATTTTGACATAAATAAAATTACATAGCAAACGTAAAATGCCTAATCTCACAGATTTTCTCTTTGTGTATCTGTATTGTAGAATTCTCAGGTCCCATTTTTATTTTCCTGAACTATGAATTTCTTTGAGTATATAATGTTTTCTATTAATAAATTCTGTAGTTGGCCAAGGAATCAAGAAACCCAGTGGTTATGATTGACAGAGAGAAGAGAAGGCTGATTGAGCTTTTGAAGGACTTGGATGATAGAGATTCTGGGCTCCCCACTTCTGAGGTATGTAAACTCTTGATAGGGAACTCTACACTTCTTAATTTTGATTTTATAAAGCCATATTATTGACCCAGCAGCACAATTTACAGTAATTTTTCAGATTCTGAGGTATTATTCTCTTACTTTAAAAAAATCCTGTTTTACTAACACAGGAACGGATAATAACATACTGCATGTTCTCACTGTAAGTGGGAACTAAATGATGAGAACACGGCCGGGCGCGGTGGCTCAAGCCTGTAATCCCTGCACTGTGGGAGGCCGAGGCGGGTGGATCACGAGGTCAAGAGATCG